AGTCTTGAAGGTTCGGACCTGTCCAACCTTTGGCTACGCGTAGACAGCGACGACCATCCGCGCGTCTACGGGTGCCTCTATAGGTCCCATAGCGGTAATGCCCAAACAGACTGACTCATCGACCACGTCCAAATGGCTACAGATTCCTTGCTACAACAGGTCCCATCCGCAGAGATCGTGATCCTTGGCGATTTTAACGCCCACCACGCCGAATGGCGAATAACCGATCATGCGGGGAGATCTGTTTATGACTTTTCCTTGGCATATGGTCTGAGACAACTGGTTACATCGCCTACGCGGATTCCAGATGTTGAGGATCATACACCTTCCCTGTTGGACCTTCTGCTGACCTCTCATCCGGACGGATATCAGGTTTCCGCCGATGCCCCTCTTGGCTCTTCGGACCCTTGTCTGACCTGGAGTGTGGTGCCACTCACGCTCCCTTCGCGGTTGCGTTCTGCAGGTTGCCGCCGTGTTTGTCATTACAGGTCGGCGGATTGGGACGGAATGCGGTCTTTCTTTGCTTCATACCCATGGGCGGGTTTGCTTCTCGCCGGATGATCCCAGCGTTGTTGCTGACTCTGTCACTGATGTGGTGCTACAGGGAATGGAACTATTTATTCCATCATCTGTGGTACCCATCGGAGGCAGATCTCAGCTTTGGCCTGGTCGCTCCTGTAAGACTGCATTACGCAGTAAGCAGGAGTGTTATCAAGCCTGGGGCTGCGGCTTCGGCGACTCGGGATGTAAACACCAGCATGCTTAAAAACAAGTATAACTTCGCCTCCAGGTCCTTCAAAAGAGTTATTGCCAAGGCAAAGTCAGAGCACATAGGCAGAATTGGCGAGAAACTAGTCCGCCTTCCTTCGGGAACACGTGCATTCTGGTCTCTCGCCAAGGCTGTCCAAGGGAATTTCTGTAAGCCATCGCTACCATCTCTGCACAGGGATGACGACTCACTGGCCCACGACGCCAAAGAGAAAGCCGACCTTTTAGGCTCCCCTTTTGCGTCCAACTCGACTGTTGATGACGGGGGGAACACACCGCCGAACATCCCGCGGTGTGAGTGCTCCATGCCAGATGTGCGGTTCTCACAGCGGTCGGTTCGCAGAGCACTCCTCTCCCTGGACATCCACAAGTCGAGTAGGCCTGACGGAATCCCCCAATTGTGCTGAGGACGTGTGCTCCGGAGTTGGCACCGGTCCTAACGCGTCTTTTCCGGTACTCCTACTCCCTAGGCGTAGTCCCGAAATCATGGAAGACAGCTTTTGTCCACCCGATCCCTAAAAAAGGCGACCGCTCAGACCCGTCCAACTACAGGCCTATCGCCATCACCCCCTTGTTCTCCAAAATAATGGAATCCGTTATAAACTGCCATCTCATGCCTCATGTACCTTGAGGATCACCAGCTGATTAGTGACCGCCAATACGCTTTTCGTCGGGGTCGATCAGCTGGTGATCTTCTAGTCTACTTAACTCATAGATGGGCGGAGGCAGTAGAGTCCAAGGGGGAGGCATTGGCCGTTAGTTTGGACATTGCGAAGGCCTTCGATCGGGTTTGGCACAAAGCGCTTCTTTCGAAGCTCCCTTCCTATGGGCTTCCCGAGAAATTATGCAATTGGATCACCAGCTTTCTTGCAGATCGAAGCATCAAAGTCGTTGTAGACGGTGCATGCTCCAACTGCAAGCCTATTAACGCTGGTGTTCTACAAGGCTGCGTGCTAACACCAACGTTGTTTCTTCTGCATATCAATGATATGTTGCAAACCGGTAGCATTCATTGCTATGCGAATGACAGCACTGGTGATGCTCTATACACCGGCCGTGCCAATATTTCTCGGGAAAACGTCACCGAGTACCGAGTGTCTGAAGTCGGATTGGGGGCGACTAAATCTAGTCCAGTTTAATCCTCAGAAGACACAAGTTTGCGCGTTTACCGCAAAAAAGAACCCCTTTGTCGTATCTCCTCAGTTTTAAGGTACTCCCCTTGTTGCCTCAGCCAGTATCGGAATCCTCGGCGTCGACATATCGAGTAACGTGCAGTTTCGTGGTCACTTGGAAGAGAAGGCCAAATTGGCCTCTAAAAAGCTTGGCGTGCTCAGCAGAGTGGGACAGTATTTCATGCCGGCACAACGCCTGCAACTTTACAAGGGGCAGGTTCGGCCTCACATGGAATACTGTTCCCATCTCTGGGCAGAGGCCTCCCAGTGCCAGCTCCTTCCACTTGACCGCATCCAGCGCAGAGCGGCTCGAATCGTCGACGACCGAGTCCTTTCCGATCGGCTCGACTCATTGGCGCTGCGAAGAGATGTTGCATCTCTTTGCATTTTCTTTCGCATTTACCACGGGGAGTGCTCTGAGGAATTGTTCGGATCAATCCCAGCCGCCAAATTTCACGAACGCACGTTGCGGCAGAACTCCCTATACCATCCACACCATCTAGATGATTGGCGGTCCACCACTGTGCGATTTAGAAGATGTTTTCTTCCTCGCACAACTTCCTTGTGGAATAGTTTACCATCAGCGATTTTTCCAGACCAATACGACTTAGGGACCTTCAAGAAAAGAGCCTACTCCTTTTTAAAAGGCCGGCAACGCATCTGCAATTCCCCTGGTGTTGCGGTTGTTGCTGTAGTCACTTACCATCAGGTGAGCCGAATGCTCGTTTGCCCCCTCTCCTATAAAAAAAATAATTTTTGTAATCTATTTATACACCAACTGTTACACTTATTTGTAGTAATTTTAATTATTGATCTTATGAAATTAAGTGGTTATTATTTAAATATAGTATTTTATATTATTTCAAAATCCAAAGTCAACAATAAAAACCTAAATAAAGCAGGGGTGGACATTGGACAATACCGCAACGTTTTTAATTTCAGGGCTAATTTACCAAATTAAAAATAAAACATAATCCCTCGATAAGTTGTGATGGCAGGGTTTTTCTAATTTTGCCGGTTTATGATGTCATCTGTTATTTTGAGTAAATAAACGGTAATTGTTATTCACTTGTGAATTATATTTATGATAATTTTACTTTTTTTTTCTTCTTATTTTTTATTGTTTTGTTACCGTTATTACTACTTTTTTTGAGTTCTTGGTGCAAGGCGTTACGTTTAGTTGAAAAATAGGGTAATCTAAGTGCGAGCGCGAGTAACTCACATGCAATTCCTGAAACTGCTAAAGCTAACGGCGACCAAAAAGTGACCTCAATGTTGACCTTGACAAAGCTTTAAATTACTTAAAAATACTTAAAGAATAGAATAAAACAAACCCCACTTTGTGTTTCGTAAAAGCAAACTATCATAAATAGTTTTAAACAAGTTTCGGAGTCTTGGTCTGCAGGTATACCGATGAGCAACTCAGTTAAAATTGCAACTTGGTTAGCTCGGTTTGAAAAAAATAGCAAATCGGTTTGAATGCTGTTATTGCTTTTTTTTATAGGATCGGGTGACAAACGAGCACACAGTCCACCTGATAGTAAGTGGTTACTGTGACCCATAGACATCTACATCTATCCTCAATAAAGACTCAAGATGCAGATGCGTTGTCACCCGTGAGGACTAAGATGGAATGCCTCTTTGCCAGTAAAAAGGGTCTCCGGTTCTCTACACTCACCATATGAAACACAGCAGCGTTAAGCTGCTATTTTACGCTGGTTTTCTATCAGAGCGTGGTCCTTCCCCGGTCGAGCCGACCCATTCGTGCTACAACCATAATATAGATGCAGCATGGCTCTACCACGTAGACTTATTATGCTGTTATTAAGTAGTAAGTAGTAACATTTTCACATTTTCAACGCGGCCTTGGATATGTAGGAATTATAAAAATATTAAACTTGTTTTATTCATGATTCAAATTCAAATAATTTAAACAGTTTTAAAAATAAAATTTTTAATAAACAAATAAAAAATTAAAACATTCAATTCAATTATTTTAATATTTTTGACGATTATTTAAATATTTTTACCGATTATTTGCATAACAATGAATTTTAATCATTCAAACACCACGATAAGATGCAAAGCGATATATCATTGAAACAATGTTAGACAAAAATGTTGAAAGTACTATACATGTTGTAAGGAAATATAGATTACTTCACAATTATTGGGATTTATGTAAAAGGTTATTTTAAATTGTGTGAGTTATTGCGGAATGATTAATTTGAAACATTAAAGGTATTTCTTGGATTTGGTTGAGTGTAGTAAGTTTTATTTAAGTTGATTTTTCGAAGTGTTCGTAATTATTGCCAAAGCTTGTTTGCTATTTTTTTTAAATATTTTAGTTATAGTACACGACTTTATGTTTTTGTCTTTGTCCTCCCCCTAGTTTTGGTTTTATATGGCGGCAAAGCTTAAAGTGACCAAATATTTAGCTACAATTTGATCTGTAGCTTACGTAGGATTGTTCTTAGAATAAGAATCCTCTAATAGAAAGAAAGCCTAATATAGGAATATTAACGCAGCAACCCGGTTCATTTTTCTGAGCACGCGCAAACTGTTATCTCATTCACCATTCACGTCGGCGGCGCGATGTAACCGGTTTAACTCAATCTTTGAATCGATTTGACTTGTTCAATCGTCAAACCAATTTGAACAGAGTTGGTAAACCGAGCTGTTACATCGCTAAGGTAGACTTCCTTATAAAACTCATATAATTAACAAAACTGTAAACATTGCAGGTAAGGTTCATACATAAATCTGTTTATTTTACTCTATTTATAGTTTCTTAACATAAATTACTTCCGCTTGTTGTTGTTTTTACATTTTACATTGGCAACTCGTACAACACAAACATCATTTACTTCCCCCATTAGAAAGGTTACGCCTAGTGAGGGTTAGGATATTGTAAATTTTTGAAAATTCTCATTCTTATTTTTATATGAACCTTAATACATATTATATTAAAATTATCCTTAATGCATATTGTATGTAATGAAAATTCATTTATTGTTGTAATTTAACTATAGAAAGAAGGCATAAAAAATAATGACTCACTTGTGCCAACATTTTCATGTTCCTCTTTTTCAATGCCTTTGCTTCTTCTTTTTCACGTTTTGCAATAGTGTAAATGCAGTCTGCAAATATATCTCTTCGGTCCGAATCTGGCACGCATCGCCATATCTACGTCAAATGAAAGCAAATTTTGTTGATAAAAGTGTCTTAATAAATAGGGTATGTAATATTATAACACTGAAATAAACAATTATCAATATCGCAGTATTTCAAGTTCAATGATAACAGTATAGTAGTTGATTGCTGCATTTACGTCTCTAAAACTTAAATTCATGACATAAGAAGGTAAGGTACGAAAGGATATTTGTAAGCTCTTGTGCACTTCATTTTCAACATAGGCATATTAATTAGCTGCTCTGAGGTCGCGTTGGCGATAAAGTGCCGGCAGCGTAGCGGAAGCGGTGACGAGGTCGACAAGGTGGACAAAACTGAGACGTTGACTTTTGATACATTGACTAGAAAAATATCGCTAGATATTGGCCTTATTTGAAGGTTAAATAGATGTCAATTAACTTCATACATGATAAAATAAATGCAGCAAAATAGGGTTTATAAATGAACAATCCCGCAGCGGTTTTAAAAATCCGCATGACTTAAGATTTTATTTACTTCCTGAACTTTAGAGGAATGTATTTAATTTTTCATTCAATCATCGTCGCTGGATAAAAATTCAATAAAGTTAACAATAAAATGGAATAGTATAATTTGCGATGGGCGATTGGTATATTAAAGATGAATGACCTACCCTCAACTAATGTTATGTATTGTGTTGGTGATATATTCACCTTTTTCATCATTCTGTGTAAGTTCACTGCCTGACATGGGCCTATAATACTACATGCACAGGACGAAATGAGGCGACGGATTCTCTTAGGCCGCCACCTCACGGCAACAGGCCTTACAATTGAGTAGGAAATCAAGGCAAATCTATGGCAATTTACAAATACATAGAAACCTCATAGGGCAGTAAAAAAACTGGTTTGCAATACAAAGTGTTTGGTATTGTGACAACCATTCCACAAGCCTTGCAATTACGAAAAATCAAAAGAAATAAGCCAGTTTTGGGCGTATGAGCATGACACATTTTACTACACGTGAATGCGCGCATTACGAGCGTGTAGATCTAACTATTTTGAATGTAAGTCATGATATTATGTACAGTACATATATAGTATGTATGAAATCTAATACTACTCTCAACAAATTTTGTAATTTCATATTTCATAATATTAATATAGCACATACAGAGAGACAAGACAAAGAGCCAATTATAAATGTTGTTAATTTCCTTACCTCGAGATTGCTAAACATTTCTTCACATTTGTAGTACTTTGTCAAAGATGTCACACGGTCACAACTAAGCAAAAACTCCTCAAGATTTTCTCTATTCTTCTTTGTTCTTAACCTGATTTAAAAATATTGATATAGCGTAAAATATTTCATTTATCTAAAGCAACATCATAATAAGCAAACTTCAATTTGTAGTATATTTGGAATAAAAAATATAAAGAGCCATATTTTTTTGTATGTAGAAAAAATATAAAAATCAAGGTAGACTGGTAGAGAATGCCTTAGGCATTAAGTCCGCCTATATACCACATGTGTATATGAAGTTTTAAATAAATAAATAGACCAGAATTGACGTGCCTTTGTGTGCGTGCCGAGGGATACAGATTTAAAGATTTTCACCATCACGTGGGGTAAGATAAGGAAGTTGTGCATGTAGTTGTATTCGCTTTTATTTTCGTATACATACATAAGTAAAAGCCGTTTTTGAATTTTGAAAACTCTTTTTTGCACAGATTGCTCTTAAAATCGATATTGGAGAGTCCATGTGGCCTATGAATATGAATTCGTTATAAAAACATTCGTCGTGAAAACTGAAAAAATGATCGCTATTTGGAAAAGTTTAGTAATACAGGCAGTTTAGTAAATTTTTACCAAAAATATAAAATGCTGCTCAAGCCAGTATTATAGAATGTTATCAATGGGCAACAATTTTTTCCCACTGTTTGAAAATTCCCATTATGTATTTGTCATAATATTGCAGTGATATACATGTCCAATTTAATTAAAACAAATTTAGAGAGCAGCAGCATTCTCGTTTGACTCCTCTTTTATAAAAATATATTTCTGATGACTGGAGAGTATTTTTTTTATTTTTTGTACCAAATATAGTTGAAAATCGTTTAACGTTTTTCAAACGGAAGTTTTCAGAAAACCAGTTACAAATCATACTCATCATCATTACGGCCCTTCACAAGTCTACTACTGAACATAAGCCTTCCCCAAGGAATGCCACAAAGCACGGTCCTGAGCTACCTGCATCCATTGACTTCCTGCATGTCTTACCAGGTCGTCACTTCATCTAGTGCCGTCCCTACACTTCGTCCGCCGGTACGAGGTCGCCACTCGAGAACCTTTTTTCCCCATCGGTTGTCGATTCTAGGAGCTATATGGCCGGCCTATTGACACTTCAGCTTACTAATTCATTGGGCAATGTTGGTCACTCTGATTCTACTGCGGATATCCTCATTTCTAAGATTTTAATTACGCAACAATCTTAATTTTTATTACGTAGAGAAACTCCGAGCATAGCCCTCTCCATAGCTCGCTGAGCGACCTTGAGCTTCCTCATACGGACAGCAGTGAAGGGCCACGTCTCAGATTAATAAGTCATCACTGGCAACATGCACTGATTGTACAATCTCGTTTTCAAATTTTTAGGTTTGTCGTAATTTCCCGAACGCTGCCCAGCCGAGTTGAATCCGTCGATTGACCTCTCGGTCGAAGTTGGACCTACCTAGTAGAACTATTTGTCCCAGGTAGACATACTCATCAACAACTTCGAGCTTAGTACTCCCAACAACTACCAACATAGGTGTGACATGGATGTTACACATGATCTTTGTTTTGTCCATGTTCATCTTAAGACTTATCCGTTGGGAAGCACTATTGAGGTCATTGAGCATAGTGCTTAGGTCCTCCAACGATTCTGCCATAAGGACTATATCTTCGACAAATCGAAGGTGAGTGATGTACTCGCCAATGATTTTAATACCGTATCCTTTCTAGTCCAGTAGCTTGAAAACTTAATAGTTACAAATGAAGATAATATTAATATAAATGAACCAAAATTGTTCACTTAATCTTATGGTGTTAGTATTGTTCCTTACCTCTGCTCTTCTCTTTCATCCTTTAACTTTTGCGTTTTATATGCGTTGAATGCTTGTTTCTTCTCGTTCAGTTTTTTGAAAGTCGCATAACGAGGGTCTTTTGAAATAATCTTAACGCATTGCTCCCAAGATGCATTTGAAGGCACATTCTAAAGACAATATTATATGGCATTAATAATTAAAATTAATAACAAATGAAACCATAAATATAATTTTATATTATTGCAGTATCTATATCTTGATTTTATTTATTTTTTATCTCAAATATACAGGTTTATTTTTCAAAAACTATCCAAATTTTATATTTAAGTATAAAAATATAAATAATGATATTTACGTATTTTTATAAACTGTAATAACGGTTATTACAGTTTATAAAAATACGTGCAAATAAGACTGCTATTTTTGTTCGAAATTATCCCAAATTTAATGTGATTTATGGGCAACAATTATGTGTATTCCTGTGTGTGTGATTCAATTCACAAAGTTTTCGCCTACTATTTACTTTCTTAGTGACACGCTCACTACTAATGCTTAAGTTCACTACTTAACTACACGACGCGAATTATGCTTCATAATAAATAAAATTTAAAAAAATATATGTTTTGCTTATCAGTGACGTAACCTTTAACTGTCATAAATTATTTACAACTAAATTACGCAAGTAGTCCCTATAACTAATATTGGTACCTCAAAATGGACTCCATTTCTCTCCATGCAATGACGAGCATGTTTTCTTAAATTATTTTTTACACTTATCACTTGTGCTTGAGCACTTTTAACTTTCATGAATGCAGCAAAAATTTTGCTGTAGCAGTCTTGTCATGTCTACTTTGGAGCAGTGCGATGAACTCGTCCATGCATTAAAACGCCCGAAGCCAGCAAATTGTACGTTATATAATAATTAAATAACTTGAGCACTTTTAACTTCCGTGAATGCAACAAAAATTTTATTGCAGCGGTCTTGTGATATCTACTTTGGAGAGTGCGACGAACTTGTCCATGCATTAAAAGCAAATTGTATGTTATAAAATAATTAATGAATATACATACCCTATCCCTCAGCAATTCTTTAAAAGCCTCAATTGCCTCTTTTTTATCCTTGTACTGCAATTCAGGTGTTGGTTCATTACTATCAGTGCCAGTTAAAGGAGGTGGTGCTGCAATTTCTTCTGGTTTTACTGTAATATAAAAACACATATTAAGCTTATATTAAACAGCGTGGGATATAAGTGAAACCTAATCCGTAGGTACCGTACATGACAACGCAGAAAAATCTAGATGTGGTAGTGGTGGGCTTTGATAGATGGCGGAATTACTATCTGTTATTTATAAATTACCAGAACAGCAACTTAAAATAGCGTTGTGTGACAGCTTATATTGTGCAGAGGATTCTTTAAGGGCCGTTAAGGATTATGCTTCCGTAGGTACCGTACATGACAACGCAGAAAAATCTAGATGTGGTGGTGGTGGGCTTTGATAGATGGCGGAATTACTATCTGTTATTTATAAATTACCAGAACAGATACTTAAAATAGCGTTGTGTGACAGCTTATGTTGTGCAGAGGATTGTTTAAGGGCCGTTAAGGATTATGCTTATGCCTTCTTACATATTTTTATAGGACAGGATGACAAACGAGCACACAGTCCACCTGATGGTAATTGGATGCTGTGGTCCATAGACATCTAAATTTATCCTCAATTAAAAATCCAAATGCAGATGCGTTGTCACCCATGAGGACTATGATGGAATGCCTTTTTTCCAGTAAAATGGGTCTCCAGTTCTCTACACTCAGCATACGAAACACAGCACACATAATAAAGTATAAAGTAAGTTCTGTATGTCACACCAGGAGGCATACAAAATATAAAATTAATAAATGCAAGATTCATTAATAATATACATCTCATTGGACTTAAAAGACTTGAAAGATATGAAAAAAATGCTTACATTTTTTATATATCTTTCAGCAGTAAGCTTATTCTATATACAAAGTTCAGCAGACATTAAAAATGTCATCACGTTATATTCAACTTTTTTATTCCCGATGTTTCGTACAAATAGCTGTTGTGAAGCACCGACGCTCCGGGAAGTCTGAAGTATGTCAAAATATTCAGGATCGTCCTAACCATTACATCAGATTTGATAGACCACAAATCCTCGCAAAAGAACTCAACTTCCTACCAAGAATGATTCGCAAAGCTATTTTAATACAGTTTATTTTTTATTTAAATTTTTTTTATTACAAGCAACGGTCCTTTTGCGAAGATGTTGCCCTGTGTCATATCATGATAGTCAGTGTTAATGTTCGTTTGCATACTTCATCTATTACATACACATTGAATAAAACTAACTAAAATACTTTACGGATTTTATCGCGTTTTATTTAATTTTTTCGATTGCTGACGTTTCGAGCCCTTTACAGCACCCATGGTCACGGGGGGGATCAAAGAAAATACAACCAAGTGATCACTTATTAGTTGTTTTTTCTTTTATTTTCTACGCACATTTGTAACAATGTAGTTCTATTACAGGGCATGGCTATTATTTACTATAAGTGTTACAGATAGTCTCCTGGGCAGGGCATGTATGCGGGAGGTCGTGTTGCTGGCATGTCCGGAGGTCGGCGCTAGATATAAAGGTAAACAACTCAGGAGGCCGGGAACAGTCCCCGAAGTTGCTCGCAACATCAAAGGACTGTTGAACTTCTTCGGGGAGATTTCATGGCTCGAATAATCACAACATTCCTGATCACACGCAAAATCCGCGTTTAGACGTGGAGTTGCGGAAAACAGCCCGTCGTAAACTAAACTAAGTAATCTAACACTGTAGTATATTCATAACAATGTAATATTAAAAAAATGTGGTACAAATGGGTTTAAAAATTTTTAATATTTGGTTTATTTATTTAATTTATATTCAGTAATCTACTTACTATATCAGAAAATTACTTACTTTCCTCTGGAATAGGAATGTTATTAGCCAAATTGGGGTCAATAGCAGCTAAGGTTTTCGCCATAGCTTCATCTAAAGCAGAGCTGCCTGAGGTTGGAGCAGTAGCTGGAGACGCTGGAAGAGGGACTTCACCAGGAGGTATGTCTGCATTTAATGCTGCCCTGAAAAATATGGCAATGGAAAAGAATTAACATCTTAATAAGAGAGTATAACCTCTAATTAAGTAGTTAATTCTTTTACATATCTCACACAGAATACCAGCGTAAAATGGCAGCTTGACACTGCTGTGCTTCGTATGGTGAGTGTAGAGAACTGGAGACCCATTTTACTGGAAAAAAGGCATTCCATCTTATTCCTCACGGGTGACGACGCATCTGCATCTTGATTCTTTATTGAGGATAAACGTAGATGTCTATGGGTCACAGCAACCACTTACCATCAGGTGGACTGTGTGCTTGTTTGTCACCCATCCTATAAAAAAAATATATATAACAATAAAGTATAACTATAAAAATATATTTAAAAGGGCTGAAACGGCTCCGTGGCTCCCGTCGAAATCAGTCCAGCCGTTTCGGAGATTAGCCGGAACAAACAGACAGACTGACAGACAGACAAAAAATTTAAAATTTGTGTTTTTGTTATAAGTACCGTATATACTTTCATATGCATTTAGTAAAAAGCTGGTATTTTGACATTACAAACAGACACTTCAATTTTATTTATTTGTATAGATTATTATAGCAAACTTATATTATTTTTAATAACCCAATTATAAATTTAAATTAAAAAACATACTTAAAAAAGCGTATTTTGCATGTGGTAAATTACAGGGAACATTGGAAATAAACCCTCTATTTGTTGTCGTATGACGAGGATGTGGGAGAACACAGAATAATTCTTAGGGCCATTGACAAAAAGATATTATATAGATACATGCGGTGTTATGCTAGAAGTTTTAGACTCAATATACTAAGACCAGCGATGAGAAACAGTACCTATTAATGATAGTACAAAACAGATGTCCAATCCGCCTTCAAGTACCACATTTCTCGTTATGGCCACTTTCCAATAATATGCACAGCCTGAGAAGAACATACAGTCAGTCATCGCGTTTGATATTCTCAGGAAGTGCTCAGCCCGCATCTCGCCCCACACCACACCGCACGATTGCCCTGTCTAAACGCCATCGATGACCGACTGTTAGTAGTAGTTAGACTGTGTGTGTGTAGAGTTGGCGCACAATCAGCAGTGAATCATTCACAGACTGGTTATAATATGGATTTAAGTTGTATAGTACAAAAAATATGAAAGTTATTACTGTGCAGCTTCTTCTGCAGCAATCTTATCCTTTATCTCTTGCAACTCTTTAGGAATAACCCAACTAGATTCCTTTGTCTCTATATTATGATAATACACCCTTCCCGCATCCGTTGTGTACTCTTTCCAAACACAAGATGACAAAAGCTTCTGTAAATGAAAAATAATAATAAATTTATTTAGAAATGCTTGTCAATGTACTTAGTATACCTAACCTAAGCTAAAATAGAAAGTAAGTGTCAACAATTTCAAGACACGTCAAACTTTCATCTACCCATTTAACCATCTATAACAACCTATAAAGTAGTGGACTTTATAGGTTGTTATAGATGGATAAATGAGAGAGCAGAACATAGGCCCCCCTTATAGATTGCCTCATATTTTTTTAATTTTACCCTAGATGAAATGCTTAGCAGATGGGTTGACAACCGCGATTTTATATAACTTTGAACTGTTATCAGGAAGAAGCTGCTGCCCACCTCATGTTTCAGTTTCTCGCTGTTTACGACACCCGATTGGGGGTTGTGGATATATTTACACCGCCACTACACGGTAATCTCATTTCATCTTTCGTCTCATACTAAGTGTACAAAGTACAGAGCCTTAGATCTAACATCCATAAAAAAATTCTTTAGTTAATTGAACAGCTTCAAAAAATACCATATATAAACATCCTAGATTTAGATTGTATAAAAGTCATGGAACAGGATTCCAAATTGAGTTGGTGTTGGTTGGTTTTCATTGGTATTGTAGATTATAATGGGGAGTACATCCTAAACATTTGTAAAGGTTTTATATTGCTATTACAAGGAGTAAACTTGAATACAGAAGTTTTTTATACCATAACAGCTGTCAAAAGTAACCTAGATAAAGTACAAAATCAAGCACTGAGATTAATTGGAGGTTTTATTAAAACAACTGCTATACATGCAACGGAGAGTGAACCTGGTCTCATTACATTGCATGTGTGGAGAAGGTATTTAAGAGGTAAATTTATTTTAAAAGCTAAGTCCCAAGAAAACAATCTTACAATTAAAATAATATGAGAATTATTGACATTTAAGGACAATAGATACTGGCGAAATAAAAAGCAGCCACTATTGCTAACTATGTTTGATTGTCTTTCTAATATTTATATTCATTCCAGCTGACAGCTAAAAATGTTTTCTATGAATGTATAATACTTGAGTAAACAACATAGATTTGGTTAAAGTGATTCATTGTAATATCTCAAATCTTGTAAAACAAAGCGAAGTTACAGTAATTTTAATTTAAAACTATTATGCTTGAATATTATCGACCAGTGAAATAAAAATTGTTATAAACTTTGTACTGATGGATCTAAAGATGGAAGTGGAATTGGTTCAGCATTTTATGACCGACAATACAACATTAGTCTACAATTAAGAATAGACAGTGATAATATGCATTATGAAGGTAGAACTTATCGCAATCCGTGAGGCAATATTTTTAGTTTTTACAACAAGACAACATAGTGATATTCATAGATTATAAAAGTGCACTCCAACACTTGATTCGATGTACCTCGGGCCTACGAGACACTCTGATAGCCTACTCAGCCCTGGGCTTTTTTTTACAGGAGGGGGCACACAAGCATACAGCTCACCTGATGGTAAGTGATTACCACCGCCTATGAACAACTACAACACCAAGGGAATTGTACGTGTGTTGCAAGCCTTTTAAAAATGTTATACAATTAAATATGAAAACATTTAGAAATGGTATGGTAGCGATCACCTCATTCAAATGCAATTATGTCACTTTACTCACTATGTTATTTCAACAGCATAATTCTGCATTAAAATCATCATCATCATTACAGCCTTTCATAAGTCCACTGCTGAACATAGGCCTCCCCCAAAGAATGCCACAAAGCACGGTCCTGAGCCACCTGCATCCATCGACTTCCTGCATGTCTTACCAGGTCGTCACTCCATCTCGGGGGGGGGTCGCCCTACACTTCGCCTACTGGTACGAGGCTGCCACTCAAGAACCTTTCTTCCCCATCGGTTGTCGGTTCTTCGAGCTATATGGCCGGCCCACTGCCACTTTAGGTTACTAATCTGTTGGGCTATGTAAGTTACTCTGGTTCTACTGTGGATATCCTCATTCCTAAGTTTATCACAGAGAGAAACTTCGAGCATAGCCCTCTCCTTAGCTCGCTGAGCGACCTTGAGCTTCCTCATATGGCCAGCAGTGAAGGACCACGTCTCAGTTCCGTAAGTCATTACTGGCAACACGCACCAGTTGTACAATTTCGTTTTAAGGTTTTGAGGTATGTCTGACGAGAAGATGTGTCGTAGCTTCCCGAACGCTGCCCAGCCGAGTTGAATCCGTCCATTGACCTCTCGGTCGAAGTTGGACTTACCTATTCGGACTATTTGTTCCAGGTAAACATACTCGTCAACAACTTCGAGCTTAGTGCTCCCAACAACTACCGGCATAGGTGTGACATGGACATTAAACAAAATCTTTGTTTTGTTCATGTTCATCTTAAGACCTATCCGTTGGGAGACACTATTGAGGTCATTGAGCATAGTGCTTAGGTCCTCCAGCGATTCTGCCATAAGGACTATATCGTCGGCAAATCGAAGGTGAGTGATGTACTCGCCATTGATGTTAATACAGTATCCTTTCCAGTCCAGAAGCTTGAAAACGTCTTCCAATGCAGCGGTGAAGAGTTTCGGGGATATAACGTCACCCTGTCTTACACCTCTCTACAATTGGATAGGTTTCGTATTCTAGTTCTGTACTCGGACAGCCATCTTAGCTCTACTGTACAAGCACTTCAGCACTTCGATATACCGACAGTCAACTTGGCACCGCTGAAGGGACTGCAGCACCGCCCAAATTTCAATCAAAGGCTTTCTCATAGTCCACATACGCCAGGCATAGTGGCAAATTGTATTCCTCGGACTTCTGTAGAACTTGCCGAAGGGTATGTATGTGGTCTATGGTGCTAAAGCCCTATCGGAAACCGGATTGTTCGGGAGGCTGGAAGTCGTCAAGTCTGCGTGCGAGACGATTCGTAATGACTCTCGAAAACAGCACGTAGACGCGGCTCAGAAGGGAACTCGGTCTGTAGTTCTTCAAGAGAGCATTGTCACCTTTCTTGAAGAACAAGACCACTGCACTTCTGCTCCACGCCTCCGGTGTAATGCCACCACGGAGGACGGAATTAAAGAGCCTCTGAAGGACTTCCAGTACCGGTTTTTCACCTGCTTTTAGAAGCTCCGCTGTAATTCCATCCTCGCCTTGGGGCCTTGCCGTTTTTACGATGCTGGAGAGCCATTCTAATCTCGCTTAGACTGACGTCCGGGATATCTTCGGAATAGTGTCGGATAAGACTCGCTCTTGGATCGTTACTCACACTTGCGTGTGGCTCCAACGATGACGTGTACAGCTGTGCATAGAACCTCTCAATCTCACTCATAATCTCAGGTGCCCCGGAAACGATGCTGCCACACTCGGTCTTCGGCTTTGACAGTTGGCTCTTTCTGGCAGACAGATCTCTGGCAATGACTTTGGAGCCTTGGTTCCGCACGATCGCTTCTTCAATACAAGCTGTATTGAAGTTGCGTAAGTCCCGCCGCATATATTTGGAAATCTGTCTGTTCAGTTTCCTGTATGCTGTCAAATCTGTTGAAGAATGTAGCTTCATCTCCCGTCTAACAGCCATGAGATTAAGAGCGTGATCGGATAGTTTTAGACACTGAAAACGGTTTTGTAACTCGAACTGAAAGGTTTCGGGACTTTGGAACAGAGCACTAGGGGGGGACGGAGCGTTGACTTCATTAGACGAGACCTCTCCAACTTAACGTTTAGGTTCAGTGTGCCTCTAACCATTGAGTGATCGCTACCAGTTTTCACCCTCGCGATCACGGAGATATCACTGAACAGTTGTCGTCTGGTCGTCATAATGAAGTCAATCTCATTTTTTGTGGAACTGTTGGGGCTCGACTAGGTCCACTTCCTGTGGGGCCGCTTCTGGAAGAAACAGTTCATCATAAAGAGTCCCTCTTTCTCAATGAAGTCGGCCAGCTGCTGGCCCGTTGGGTTCCGTTGCCCTATTCCAAATTTCCCTACTTTCAGCTCACCATTCTCTCTTGTGCCTAGTTTGCATTGAAGTCTCCCATTAACACCGTATATTGGGTTTTGGAGGAATGCATGGCTCTAGAGATATCCTCATACATTTCCTCCACCTCCTCATTGGGGTCCTCATTTAACAGTCCACGTGGCAGCTTTTGCTGTCGCACGGATGGGCGGGCTCGAACCGGGGTAGTACTACGACCTCACAGAAAACCAGCGTGAAGTAGAGGGTTACCTCTGCGTTTCGCTTGGTGAGTGCAGGTGGCCGGAGGCCCTTTTTACTGGAAATAGGCATTCCATCTTAGTCCTCACGGGTGACAACGCATCTACATTTTGATTTGTAACAGAGGATAGATGTAGATGTCTATAGGCCGCAGCAACCACTTACCATCAGGTGGACTGTGTGTTCGTTTGTCACCCTTATCCTATAAAAAAAAAAAAATTGGGGTGTGCCGAGGTTAGTGCGTAAACCTGTATGACCTTCAGCGAATACCGTTTGGTGATTCTGAGTATAAGGTACGCAACCCTCGTCGACACACTCCCGATCTTTATATCTCCGAGAGACTTGTGGACGATAAATCCGACACCTCCTTGGGATAGATGGTCACCCTCCCGGTGATAGAGCAAGTTGCCGGATTCGAGGATTACCGTGTCCTCCCCCTCTCTTCGGACTTCGGATAATTCTATAATATGCCAGCGCAACTTGTCTATCTCTTCTTCCAGCTCCATGATCTTCTCGTCAGTCCTCAGGGTGCGTGCGTTGTAAGTTGCCAGGTCGAGTCGTCTAAGGTGGCAACCGAACCTCCACCGGAGATTCTTAGCACCCCCTGCCTCGCCGTTACCACGGTCGCCACCGTAGCCAGAAATAGCGGAGCCGTAGGGGACTGGGGGCCGTTTATTATTGTCATTGCTCACGGGGGGTATATTGCCATAGTCGCCACGCTTGGCGAGCGGGTTGGCAATTGCAGTTTTTTTATTGTAATTTTGGCTATTATCAGGAAGATGCTGCTGCCCATCTCCTGCCTGTTTGCCTTTGTCGCCTTTTACGACACCCACGGGAAGATATGGGGTAGTGAATATTCTTGACCGCCACTACACGGCATATTTTTCCAAACCAGTGGTAAAATCATAAACGACTTTCAATAAGTATTCTTAAACCTAATCTATGTTGATAAAAATTATTCTAATCTATTCTATTCTAATATATCACTGAAGTGGCTGTCTTATTGATGCAAATTTAAAAGCCTCACAGTAAGAACTTGTTACTATACATACTATACATATACTACTAAAATAACAAAAATTATTACTTTCTGCTGTGGGGAAGTGGCCATCCCCTCCCCCTTTCTTCCCTCCCCCTCCTACCTCATCACACTGCAGAATAATAAAGAAAAGTCCTTATTTTTGCAATTGTTGTAAATAATGATTGATATAACTGCCTGTAAATAACGACAAATATAATAAATATAATATTTATAAATTTTATGCTAATTTACCTCAGCAGGAGTTTTTAAATCATCAGGCTTTTCCCATAAACTCTGTTTTGTGACAGAGTTGTAATAATAAGTGCGACCATCTGGTGCTTTGTGTTCTGACCATGGACTGCTTTGGTTTACAGTCGGTGTAACCTCCGGGGCTGGAGCTCCAAGGTCCTACAGAAATTTATTATTTATATTATTTTAATAAAACAGAAAAATTTAAAATTGTAAGAACAATGTATAATTTCACAAAAATTACCGCTTTAAAGGGTGGAAACCCAGGAGGAGGCATAGAAAATGGAGGTATGATGGGAGGAAAACCCATAGGTGGTTGCAAGCCTGGCATGTTCCCAGGGATTCCAGGAATAGGAGGCATTGCCACTGCTGGAGGTATTGGTGGTGGTATGCCACTTAACATTGGAGGTGGCAGTAACGGTGTAGCACCTATAAGTCCTGGAGAACTAGTACCAGCGGCCGGCGGCTCCTAAAATAGATAAATTAAATGAATTAATTGTCATTTCACGTATGTTATTTGTGTTATATATTTACTATAATTATAATTGTTTTAATCTCTATCTCTCAATGTGTTAATCGTGATATATATGTATATATATTGCAAGTTCGATTATTATTTTATATATATTTACATAATTACGATTATAAATTAAAAAATATTATAAATATACACAGTTATTTACCATTTCAAAGGGCTTTTCTGAGGGTTAGAATTAAAGCATATCAATAACAAATAGAAACAGGGATTCCGGTTAGGGATATCGAACATCGATGATCGATCATCGATGTCAAAAATTAAAACTGCCACATGTCAAACATCGAAACATCGATGTCAATAAACCCATAATCGATTATTGGAAAAAAAATCGATTATTCGAATACTGCGAACCGGCGAAATCTATATCAACTAAATCTTGCATCTCCTCTAAAATATTTAAAATTTTTAATAATTCTGAATTCCTGAACGCATCGATAATCTAAAACTAATTCTTTATGGTTTATCAAATTTAACTGTCAAGTTTCAACTGTAATGTCGAAGTTGTCACTGATTTTGCTTTGTCATTGGTGTCTTTGTTGGTTGTCGGTTGTTTTAAAAAAAATCCGATGGTTAAACAAGATCCAATGTACGTTTAGAACAATGTTATTGATTCTACCTATTTAAAATTTAAAAAATAAACTTGCGTGAGATATTTGACCACAATCGCTACATCAACGCCATCTGAGCGGTTATCTACCGACTTCAAAAAGGAGAAGGTACTCAATTCGACTGTATGTTCCTTTTTTATGTGCGTTACCTCATAACTTTTTTCTGAGTGAACCGATATCGATGATTCTTTTTTTTTCTTTGAAAACTGGTGCTTGTAATGTGTTCCCATATAAATTTGATCAAAGTCTGATCAATAGTTTTTGAGTTATCCTTAATAATTTACATTAAAGTCAATTGTAGAAATTTTTTAATTTAAATTATTTTCAAAAGCTGGCTCCACTCTTTATCAACAGAGAAACAGAATTAAAGTTACTTCTTTGTCAAAATTACTATTTCTTCAATCAATCGGCAAAAATATTGGACTATATAACAAATGAACTAGATGTTTGTGAACTTCTTCCAATTTTTTTTAATTACTGTTTTACACTACATTGTTTATTAATTTCTTTTATTTCATTAATTATAAACCATAAACAACATGACTATTTTTTTATTCTTCTAATTCTAACCTATTAAATACATGTGCATAAAACATCGATAATGGCCAACATCGATGTTTTGAGTGGGATAAACATCGAACATCGATGTTGAGCTATCGATGCCAACACCGATGCCAGCATCGATGTCATCATCGATGTTTCTGCAACATCGATCATCCCTAATTCCGGCCGTTTTATTAAAATTACCCTGCATATATTACTGTATAATCTGTGAAGAGGGTCAAACCATAGACTTAGAATCATAGAGTAGAGTAATATATACCGGAACGTAGAATATACTTACGCCAGTATATTCTAAGTCTATGGGTTAAACCACAGAATAAGTATTAGTACTACTGAGGTTTCTAGCGTTTCTAGTAGTTTGTGAGTATTGAGCTACGGAGTACTACGTAGGTAACAAGGACAGGGTTATGTTCAGAGTGACAAACTAAACTAAAGCTTGAGAGTGTACGTTATTAGTCTATAGTGTACGTCTCGCTGGACGCCCGCGTTGAGAATGGCGCCAGTTTTATCGAAATATCAATAAATCGGTATATATAGCTTTGGCTCTTTTTTATATAAAATAAGGGTGACAAATAAGCACAGTCCACCTGATGGTAAGTGGACACTGTGGCCCATAGACACCCACATTTATCAATAAAACAACTAATTAATTAATAATAACAACCATAATACAGTGCTTATAAGCTGCAGAATAGCTCTGCCACGCTATTTTAGGCTATCAAAGACAATTAAATATGACTAACTTCACTCGTCATAATTTAAATTAACCAATTTTGTAACAGTAGTTAAATTATAGTTACTAAGCACTAGTTAGTAAGTTATATCACAAAATAAAATAGCCAGGATAGTTTTCTAATGATGAGTTTTAATAAATTTAATTACTAAAATTTGTATTTATGTTTAACTATCTAGTTAATGACATTTTTTTTATAGGAGATGGAGCAAACGAGCATGGGGCTCACCTGATGGTAAGTGACTACCGCCGCCCATGAACAACCGCAACACCAGGGGAATTGCAGATGCGTTGCCGGCCTTTTAAAAAGGAGTAGGCTCTTTTCTTGAAGGTCCCTAAGTCGTATCGAACCGGAAAAATCGTTGATGGTAATCGACTCCACAAGGAAGTCGTGCGAGGAAAAAAACATCTTCTAAATCGCACAGTGGTGGACCACCAATCATCCAGATGGTGTGGATGGTATCGGGAGTTCTGCCGCGATGTGCGTTCGTGAAATTTGGCGGCTGGGATTAATCTGAACAACTCCTGAGAGCACTCCGTGGTAGATGTGAAAGAAAATGCAAAGGGATGCAACATCTCTTCGCAGTGCCAATGAATCGAGCCGATCGAAAAGGACTCGGTCGTCGACGATTCGAGCCGCTCTGTGCTGGATGCGGTCAAGTGGAAGGAGCTGGCACTGGGGAGTCCCTGCCCAGAGATGGGAACAGTATTCCATGTGAGGCCGAACCTGCGTCTTGTAAAGTTGCAGGCGGTGTGCCGGCATGAAATACTGTCCCGCTCTGCTGAGGACGCCAAGCTTTTTAGAGGCCAATTTGGCTTTCTCTTCCAAGTGACCACGAAACTGCACGTCACTCTATATGTCGACTTCGAGGATTCCGATACTGGCTGAGGCAACAAGGGGAGTGCCTTGAAACTGAGGAGATACGACAAAGGGGTTCTTTATAGCGGTAAACGGGCAAACTTGTGTCTTCTGAGGATTAAACTGGACTAAATTTATTCGCCCCCAATCCGAGACTTTGTTCAGCAAAGACTCGACTTCAGACACAAGTTTGTTCCGGTACTCAGCGACGTTTTCCCGAGAAATATTGGCACGGCCGGTGTATAGAGCATCACCAGTGCTGTCATCCGCATAGCAACGAATGTTACCAGTTAGCAACATATCATTGATATGCAGAAGAAACAGCGTTGGTAATAGCACACAGCCTTCTGGAACACCAGCGTTAATAGGCTTGTAGTCGGAGCATGCACCGTCTATAATGACCTTGATGCTCCGATCTGCAAGGAAGCTGGTGATCCAATTGCACAATATTCTCGGAAAGCCCATAGGAAGGGAGCTTCGAAAGAAGCGCTTTGTGCCAAGCCCGATCGAAGGCCTTCGCAATGTCCAAACTAACGGCCAACGCCTCCCCCTTGGACTCTACTGCCTCCGCCCATCTATGGGTCAGGTAGACCAGGAGATAACCAGCTGATCAACCTCGATGAAAACCGCATTGGCGGTTACTAATCAGCTGGTGATCCTGTAGTTTTATGCTACTTACATATCATTTTACACTATTTTAAATTCATTTTTCCATTCTGTTTTGATTTTCTGCATTCACCTCAAAACTGGATATTTTGTATCACCTTTATTTCCATAGGATCCTGTAACGTTTTTAAACCATAAGAACACAATAACAAATCATTTTCACTTCGTATTTTCACGCTATCAGCATTTTTTAAATCGGTGTCGATGGAGTCTACCTTTTTCGATCTTTTATTTAGTTCTCCGTAACTCTGCAATTTCGGGCTTCGTGCGCGCTGGTGCGCTACCTTTTTTCCTATATCAATAATATCTCATTTTTCACTTAAATCTTGCCGTTTCTCTATTAAGAGCCTGAAACTAAAATTTGACATGTTTTAACATCGTTGTTTATTTGGTTGTCATGGCAATTTTTATTCAAATTCGTTACCGGTCTGATGTTTTTACTTCAATACTTCCACAAAATACTTTTTTCTTCTTAGCCATTTACAAAAATTTGCTTTTAATTTAAATCATTTTCCGTTCTTATCCGCCGTCGAGCGCGGAGCTCTCTAAAAAGGTATAAAAGCCAAACAATCGGCCAATAAACTCAGTCTCGCTTCAGCTTTCAAACTTGAAGCATCTCCTAAAGGCCTTATCCCGGGGCCGCACTGCCCCGGGATCCTGCAAGCCTCTGCCTTCACCTGAAGTCGTCACCTAGACACGCCCACGCCTCCACCTACTAGTGCCCGCGCTATCTTCAGCCGCTGAGAGCGCCTACTCCAGGCGCTACGTGTGTCTACTCCAGGCGCTGCGTGTGCCTGCTTCAAGCACTGCGTGTGCCTACTCCAAGCGCTGCGTGTGCCTACTCCGGGCGCTGCGTGTGCCTACTCCGAGCGCTGCGTGTGCCTACTCCAGGCGCTGCGTGTGTCTACTCCAGGCGCTGCGTGTACCTACTCCAAGCGCTGCGTGTGCCTACTCCAGGCGCTGCGTGTACCTAGACCAGGCGCTGCGCACCTAACACAGGCAAGGCCTGTTCATACTCCGTGAGCGGTGAGCACCACCGCCAAGCGCGGTGTGCTACTTTGGTCTTCGGGCTCCGCTTCAGTACTCATCTATCTTCATTATCTTTTTTTAAATAATTGTAATTCACGTCATCCATCATCATCATCATACTTCATTTTTTTATATAAAACTGTAAATATAATTTTAAATAAATTATTTATTTTTGTTCTATTTTTGTTGTTTCGTTGTTGTTAGGTTAAGTTCTTTTGTTTTTAATTGTCGCTTCACGACAATCCTCAAGGTACCACATGAGCTGGCATTTAATAATGCATTCCATTATTTTGGAGAACAAGAAGGTGATGGCGATAGGCCTATAGTTGTACGGGTCTGAGCGGTCGCCTTTTTTAGGGATCGGGTGGACAAAAGCTGTCTTCCATGAATTCGGAACTACGCTTTGGGAGTAGGAGTACCGGAAAAGACGCGTTAGGACCGTTGCCAACTCCGGAGCACACGTCATCAGCACAATTGGGGAGATTCCGTCAGGTCCACTCGACTTGTGGTTGTCCAGGGAGAGGAGTGCTTTGCGAACCGAGCGCTGTGAGAACAGCTCATCCGCCATGGAGCACTCACACCGCGGGATGGTCGGCGGTGTTTTCCCCCCGTCATCAAGAGTCGAGTTGGACGCAAAAAGGGAGCCTAAAAGGTCGGCTTTGTCTTTTGCAGCTTGGACCAGTGAGTCGTCCTCCCTGTGCAGAGATGGTGGTGATGACTTACAGAAATTCCCTTGGACAGCCT